TTACAGCTTTTTTGTGACAGTGATTAAGCAAATCACCATGGTTGCTAAATGAATCAGTGTTCATTAAACACTGCAGTCGTTAAGCGAACCCATTGTTTGCCATGGGGCATTTTTGTCAAAAACCATAAGTAAACATTTGTTTTTGGCAAAAACATTATAAATTGTGGTCACGTGACCCTAAGATACTACATATGTCCATAATTCAGACTGGTTGCCAAGTGCCCCAAATGCAGTCATGTGACTAGGGGGGAGGATAGTCAGTGGAACTTTGGAACAAGTGGTTTTTGGGGTGTCCATCTTAACTTCAAATGGTCGCTAAGTGACCAGTTGTAAATCAAGGACTACCTCTAGAGGCATGCCCTGAGAACCAATCACCTTTGTTTCACACAGCAGGTCGTCTTTCATGTAACTTTTGATAGCCTAGTACTCCAAAGCTCAGAAAAATGATCAGAAATAGGGATCAGCAGGACTTTGGTTCCAAAGTTGAAAAGGAAGAGGAGGCACGGGTGCACACAGCATACCTGTTTATGCCTCCTTAAAAGCTACATTTCCTGTTTGCATAGTAGTTATGCAATTCCAGGAAAATACATATTTGACTTAGAGGTAACAACATGATTCAGTAACAGGTTCAGAACAGGTGAGGGTGCCTTGCTGGTGGCTCTTTCATTCAATGTGTATTTTCCTAGGATCGTGTGGCTAAGTAAAGAGAATCAGCCTTCTTCCAAATGCCTTATCAGGTGGAGCATAGAATAGGAATAGGAGTAGAGTAGAGCAGAGCAGAGCAGAGCAGAGCAGAATAGAATAGAATTCTTTATTGGCCAAGTATGATTGGACACACAAGGAATTTGTCTTGGTGCAAATGCTCTCAGTGTACATAAAAGAAAAGATACATTCATCAAGAGTCAAGACAACACTTACTGATAGTCATAGGGTACAATAAGCAATCAAATCATACTAGGAAACAGTCAATATAAATCGTAAGGATACAAGCAGCAAGGTTACAGTCATACAGTCATAAGTGGGAGGGGATGGGTGATAAGGAGTGATGAGAAGATTAATAGTAATAGTAGTGCAGACTTTGTAAATAGTTGGACAGTGTTGAGGAAATTATTTGTTTAGCAAAGTGATGGCGTTTGGGAAAAAACTGTCCTTGTGTCTAGTTGTTCTGGTGTGCAGTGCTCTATAGCGTTGTTTTGAGGGAAGGAGTTGAAACAGTTTATGTCCGAGATGTGAGGGGTCTGTAAATATTTTCACAGCCCTCTTTTTGACTCGTGAAGTATACAGGTCCTCGATTGAAGGCAGGTGGGTAGTAATTGTTTTTTCTGCAGTCCTAATTACTCTCTGGAGTCTGTGTCTTGTTGCAGAACCAAACCAGACAGTTATAGAGGTGCAGATGACAGACTCAATAATTCCTCTGTAGAACATGCATATTCAAGCCTGCTGTAAAATATGTTTTAGCTTTGAATCCATGCTTCCACTCAAGAACCAAATATTTCAAGTAAAATTGCATTTAACAGAGAACTTGCTTGGCTTCAGGTCTAAGGATCTGGGGTTTAAGTATAGCACATTTGGATAGCTTTATGGAGTGTTGACTAGATGTATTCCAGTAAAGTGGTGAACTTCATAAGGAGTGAGTTTTATCATATATTTGTATGGTAAAACTGATCAGTTATCAGTGATCACTGAATGAGCTCACATGTTATGAACAAACATTAATGTGATGTGTTTTTTTTAGTTTGGTTTAGCCTGCTCTGTAAACTCAACTTCTGGGATTTCTAGACCATAACATATGGCTTAATATACTGTCCAAATACAGCCAATTGTAGTTAAAAAGCCATGCTTAAACTTAATGTGATTTTGATTAAGGCTATCATGTGGATTTCAATGGCATCTGTTAATGTAGCATAAATATTAAGGTGTTGGGCTAGGAGTGGGAAGAGCCAGAATCAAATCCACCCTCCCTTACAGAGGTTCGTTGAATTATTTGGGGCTAGTTTTTCTTTTAGCCCACCCTATCTCCCAGAATGGAATGATATGTGAGAAAGACCAGGGCAAAGAGATACTGCCATTAGATGAGAGAGGGCATAGCTGACAGTTTCATAATGGACAGAAACCCTCCCTAAGGGTCTAAAGGAGATGGTGGTGGGAGATTTGTATTTTTGGACTTGCAAGATTCTGTTAATATAGCCTTACAATAAAGTAGAATTATCTCATTGGTTGGGTTTACTGTCTGGTGTACCTAGGAAGGTTGACATTATTCTTTTGGAGAAAAAAAAACATGTTGCATTTCATCTGAATAAGGAATATGAACTGAATGAAAGGATGTCCAGTGTGGTGGATAGTTGATCTGTCTCAATGAGGCACTTTTTCTTAATTTAGCAAGGCATTTTATAGAAATAAGTTATTTCCCCTACTGTTCTGAAGAAAAAGAGTGAACGCTGTAAATATTGGAGTAAACAGTAAACCTTGAATTGCTATACTCAAAATGCAATACATTTTTCTTAAAACCTAACTCTGTCATACATCCAAATATGCAATATGTGGACTGATAGAATGTGAAGAGATTCTAAATACCTGTTTACTGGCTATAACTTCATTGCTGCTTAATTTTTCATTTTCAGATAAGGGTCTCAAGCAAAAATAAAAGCATCAGGATTGTGAATACCGATTCATATATGCAACAAATCAAAGGTTTAAAGTTTAAAGATACTGGATTAAGCTGTTTTGGTGGGAGTCAGATATTTAAGAAAATACTGTATTTAAAGAACATTTAGAAGAGTATTATAATGTATATTATGCATAAATGGTAAACCAAGATTTAAGACAGGGGTGTCCAACCTTGGCAACTTTAAGACTTGTGGACTTCAACTCCCAGAATTCCTCAGCCAGC